TTTATTACATACATGTCCATGATATGTCCATATTTGGTGGATGTCCATCATAGTAGGCCAGTCTGTATCAAGCAGGTGTCCAAAACAAGTTGGTGAATATATCACGTACTAGATGATCAATTACTGGCAGATAAGTGGCCATGCAATTCTTCATTTTCATTGTACGTCGCCACAGCGGCCATCGTGGAGGAACTTAACAAAATGATTTCTCATTTAAAAATAAAAATGCCTGTAGTAAATAGTTGGTTGTCCAAATAACATATGGCTAGGTTGATGTAGAACAGATTGGCATCAATAACATATGGAGTACCTGAGTCGCAGGTAGTACATCGCAGGTGGGTGTCCATAAAAAATAACTTCTCTGTAAATAGTTGGATGTTCATAACATATGGCTGTACTAGGTTGGTATAAAACAGATCATATTGAAGTACATCAGGTGGCTGTCCATATTTAGGTCTGTATCAAATAGGTGGGTGTCCACAAAAGAAACTTGTCAACAGATAGGATGGTGTCTATTAGGTAGATGTCCATGAAATTAATGTGACCAGTAAATTAGATGTGTCCACAAGAAATTGATGTCCATATTAGGTCGGTGTCTACATTTATGTGTGATCAAATATGCACAGATACTTGTTCACAGCTAGTCCATACCAGATGGGTGTCCATATTACAAGATGTCATATTACAAAGAATGTGTCCATATTTGTTGGGTTCTCTAATTAGGTGGGGTGTCCAATGAGTGTGTGATCTACTGTAGCAACTGTCACTAGAATCCACCTTCTCAATAAAACATTTCGTCTAACACTCACTACATGAATGAGTGGTGTCATCTAATACTGTATTTTTAGGTGACTCCCAGCTAGAGTTAATTATTCTGAGTCGTAGTCTTGGTTGTTRAGCAGACTTGCATCTTTCAACATTCCATCGTCAAAGTCAATTCTGGCTGCCCGGTTAACAGAGCGACGGTAACGACACCAACAACACAATACACATACGACCAGTATGATGAGAACCACTAATGTTGCTGCAAAGGCAGCCAGAAAACCTGATAATCAAAATAGTTGGGACGTACTTTTAGTAATTTTTTTAAAATCATTCTTAATAATGGCAATGTTGATATTTTCATGAGTTAATTTTGCTTTAATCAACATATAGTCAGATAAATGTTTACAACAATAAATTAGTTCGCTGGATGATTATATATAGTTTTATGTGACTGATGTTTTATTCATCAGTGTAGCATGACATAAAGTATAAGACTAAACAGCTTATTTTGCAAATTGGTCTACAAATTCACAAAACGTTGCAACTAGCGCACCAAAATTCCAAAATAATATGATCATCTTTAAATTAATTTACCATGTAATTTTAAACCTAAATGCATTGTAAACATCAATCTGAATCAAATACTCTTGCTAGAAAAAATCAAAAATTCAAAAATGCAGATTCAGATCAGTCTCTAGAGGAATATTAAAAAACGTCCTCTCAGGCAATTGATGGGCTCAAAAAACGACTGTCAAGACCGTCTCATGGAGTAAAAAAAATCACTTCACCAGTGATTTATGCAAAGGTGCTGCTAGGGGTTCCAGAGTCCCAAATTAAAATGAGACTTCACTTGCCAAATCAATACAGGGGTCTACAGGTGGGGTAGATCCAGAGGAGGTGCTTTGGGTGCGGACGCACCCCTGTTTTTTGAATGTAATTTTTTTGTATATCAGTATATTAAACGTTTTTTCTGCTGTTGATACTCCGACCTGTTGTACTTTTATCGAGAATATGAGTAGCATACACAACATGTGTCTGCCACTATCAAGACCGTTTCATCTGCTATACGTCTTTTATCTTTTACGTTTTTTAGCTATACTTTACTGACAAAAGCGCTCCCCCCCTTATAAAATGCTGGATCCGCCCCTGCTCTGGTGCAAAATAGTTTACCATGAACATAGGTTCATCTTGCCAATAGCATAAAACTTTCTGACACTTACTTTTATAAATGATTGACTTGAYGTAAATCCCTTTTGTAACCCCACAAGCTTTGTCTCTGTCTTCTGGTATCAATCTTTTTGTTAATCTAATTAATATTATGATCATAATATTTATTAAAATTTATAGTTTTTTATGTACAAGAGCAATCTCAT